GATCCAGTTAGGTCAATTTTGTATTTTGGACCAGAACATTAAGAGTCCCCGCATCATACTAAAGTCTTGAAGGGACACTGGTAAGGTCCCATCTGCACTACAAATGAAATGGTGTTCCATTGTGTCAGGCAAACTTGGTTGCATTTGCAGTACTAGAACTCCCTTAATGTAAAATTTAACATTGCAATAATGTAGATTTTGTGAGTGATTGGTACAAGATAAGGGGCAGAACTTTATTTCTATCGTAATTTCTCCACTCATGAAGACTGCTAACTTTGCCCTTAGTTACAAGCAATGAAAAACATCCAAGTGTGTGTCTGGTAAAGAAACATTTGCGGCACATGGTAACAACACCAGCTCTATAGAGATGAGTGCATGTTGTTGCAATATCCATTATAGTTCCCTTTGGATAAACATAAAAATCAGAATTATCTATACATTTCTAAAGTAACTGCTTTATTCTAAGGAGGATCGTTGGAGCTCTGATGCACAAAAGTAGCCCCACTTCCAACATTTTGAAGCTAACATGTATCTCCAAAAGCTTTATGGAGCTACTTTACGTGAACAGTAATTACAACACATACAAACAAATGCTATTAGGATTAGGAGATCAACTGGAGAAGAATGCCTCCTTTCCGAGTTCAAAAATCCTAGCCCCTTCCCCAAAATTACTGCTCTGACTGTTCGTCAACTGGGTTTAAATCTGAAGTAAAAATTTGAATTTCTGAAATTCAAGCTGGTGGCAACTATCTTGCTGAGAAGTTACTGACATGGAAGCCTTACAGAAGATGGTTAAGCCAATATTAAGAGGATGAAAACTAGTTACAGATCAAACAGAAACAAGCAAGTGGCTTAACATTTGGAACAGTAACACATTTAGTCTCCTCATTATACCAAGCAGACTATTAAATAAAACCACCACTATCAATCTGTAGCTCAGGCGTTTTAAATTACAAGGGCTCTCTCTGCTTCAGGATATACAACTAACACACAGTGCAGGGATACAAACGTATTTAGTAATATGTTTTAAAATAGCATTGGACAAATATTAAAAAAAGCAAATCCGTCTGTTATTGTATTAGGAAGTGCTCGGATACCAGGGTGATGAGAGCCATACAAGTACTTAAGCATACAGAAATTAAAGTTACACAAGGGTAAGTTCTGAAGCATAGGCTCCAGTTACCTGGTCTAATTTAACATGTGCGTGTGTATATAACTTGGTTTCCAAACATCATGGTAACTAGACAGTGGGGGTAAGAAATAAACCCAGTATTTCAGTAAGGAATACCACTCCCACCATAAATTCTCATTGCCTCTTGTTCTGAAATAGGTGGGCAGAATACAGTCTCCTCAAAGGAAACCCTCAAGCATAGGATTTGCCTAACAAAAGCAGGTAACTGGTTCATCAAGTTCTGAAATCCTGCCTTCCTTTAGAGGGGGAAAAGGCTCTCTGAGTCCCTCATTAGACACCTGGACAATTTTGCCACATAGACCAATTCTGGAGGCAACGGCAAAGGAAGAGTTAATAAGAATTCAGACAATCAGTATGAAATTAGATTACCTTTGCTTTATTATACAGTTACAAGAGTGGTAAAAATCAGTCAAAGACATCCAGATACTTTTTCTTTACATACAGGGTTAAAGCTTGGTTCTATCTTGCTACATATAGAGCAGTGACATGTATCTGAGTGCCCGAGCATGGTAACTGCTACAGCAGTGATTTTCAACTGCTGGTCCACGGACCCCCGGGGGTCTGCAGGCTATGTCTAAGGGATCCACGAAACGCTGTTATAACCATAGAACAGTGTTTTTCAACCTGGGGTCTGCAGACTATATCTAAGATTTCCAAAGGTGTCCACACCTCCATTCAAAATTTAGGGGCCCACAAAGGAAAAAAAGTTTAAAACCACTGTCCTATAGCATACAACAGATAAAGATCCAAATCCCATCTGCCCCTTCTGTTGCTACTAGCTTTGTATCCACACTTGAAAATTAATCCAGAATAAGGTAGTGTGTGTGTGAATTTAAAGTGGATTACCTCTCTATATAGATACTTATTCCAGAATAAGCATGCCTTTTTCCATGTTTAAACTAATTCAGAACAAGGTACGCTTATTCTGGAATAAATGCATCCAGACATGGAGTTAATCAGGAATAGTTAACCCACAGTAAATTGCAGTGTTGTTGTAGCCATATTGGTCCCAGGATATTAGACAGGCAAGATGGGTGAGGTAATCTCTTTTATTGGATCAACTTCTGCTGACGAAAAAGACAACCTTTCAAGTTTACACAGAGCTCTTCTTCAGGTCTGGGAAAGGTACTGAGTGTGTTATAGCTAAATACAAGGGTGGAACAGATAAGGAGTTAACACATGTTGCAAGAGACCACTCAAAGTGAAGTAGGCAGTTAACACCACTACAGTATTAGTGGGTTTCAAATAGTTATAATGAACCACTGTAACTTCACATTCTATATTATTCCAGATTAATTTTCACATGTGCAAACACAAATATCATAACAGTGTACAAGACCATGTCCCAGGACACTTCAGTGCACTTGGAGTCATGGTGTCTACAAAACCAAGAATGCTGTGAACACATCTGGAAACTACTACAGTAGAACCTCATAGTTACGTACACCTTAGGAATGGGGATTGTTCATAACTCAGAAATGTTCGTAACTCAGAACAAAACATTATAGTTGTTCTTTCAAAAGTTTACAACTGAACATTGACTTAATACAGCTTTGAAACTTTACTATGACAGAAGAAAAATGCTCCTTTCCTTTTTTTTTTAAGTTTACATTTAACACTGTATTGTATTTGCCTTTTTTTTTCTCCCGTCTCTGCTGCTGCCTGGTTGTGTACTTCCAGTTCCAAATGAGGTGTGCTGCTGACTGGTCAGTTTGTAACTCTGAGGTTCTACTGTATTCCCAAGAATGTAGATGGGCCAATAGCGGTGCATACAATATTTAACCTAGAGTTGCAGTGGGGGGGGAAGCGCTTGGTTAGGAGGAACCCTGAATGAATGTGGCAGAGTTTGGGCTCATAAGACAAGATCACTGCTCTGAAGACTTAAACTGGATCTGGATGTGAAATGAAGGCATGCAACATGGGGGGGTATAACTACAAATAAAGAGAGCACTGGGAGGAAGAGGGGTGTCTACAGGGACTTGCAGGGTTAGGAGGTCACATAGGCACAAGAGAAGCTGCGGGATATGCAGGCCTGGGAGCAATATGGGGTTTTCAGGTGAAATCCTGGGAACATCAGGGCTTTGGTATGAAAAATGAGAGTGGAGGAGATGTTCACAAAGGATCTCAAGCAGAGCTACATAGGGATTTGCAAGGCTAGAAGCAGGCCTACTGTGAGGGTTCTAGAGATAGGGGATGTGTTGGGAGGTTGCAGGGCTAGGAACATCCTGCAAAGAATAGCGGGGAGGGCTAAAAAGCTAAGTGGTGTTTGTAGGGGGCTGCTGGAGATCACGCAGGGGGCTGCAGTGCGGAGTATGGTTTGTAGCCCCCCCAATCAGGAGGCTGTAGGTGGGCAGTTGCAGGGGATCCTGAGAGGAGAGGAAGGACTGTGAGGTGCATTCAGGGAGAGGAGAAGGGCTGCAGGAGAGAGAGACAGGAGATCCTTGGGAGGACGAGGAGGGCTAAAGGGGGGTGGTTTTGCAGGGGATAAGGGAGATAGGCTGCGGGGGTATGTTTGCAGGAGATCTGGGGGGTGGGACAGGTGGGACAAGGAGGGCTGTGGGGGAGGGTAGCAGGGGAGATGGAGTTGCAGGGAATGGGGACGTTGCAAGAAATCCCAGGGAGGAGTGACAAGCATGAGGGTGTGTGGCAGGTGATGGGGTGTGTGTGGGGGAGGAGAGATACAGGAGATCTGTGGTGGGGGAAGCTGCAGAGAGGTGGGAGGCCTGTTACAGGGGATCTTGGGAGGGGATGTTTGCAGGACAGGGCAGTGCAGGGGATCCAAGAGGCTGATGGGAGAGGCTACAGGGGATGTTGGGGTGGGGGGTGCATGTGGGAGGTTTACAGGAGATTGGGAGTAGGAGGAATTTTGGAGAGAAGGATTTACAGGGGATCTAGGAGGAACTAAGCAGTAGAAAAGAGGATGTTGTGGGGAACCCAGCAGGGGGGAGGGAGGGGTTACAGAAGGTTGGGCGGGGGGGGGGATTTTCAGGGGATTTAGGATCCCAGGGAGGTTACAGGACAGGGCAGCACAGAGGATCCAGGGGCTGTTGCAAAGAGTCGGAGAGACAGTGGGGAAGGAGATTTACAGGACAAGTCTGTGCAAGGGATCGGGGGGGAGGGGCAGCAGGGGATTCGTGGGGGGGAGGGTTACAGGACAAGGCAGTGCAGGGGATCGTGGGGGGGGAGCAGCAGGGGCTGCAAAACACAGCGGTGTACGGAATCCAACCAAGGAGAAACAGCAGGGTCGCTTCCAGGGGGAGCAGCGGGGGTGTTGAAGGACAGCGCAGTGCACGGGTCAAGAACCCAGGACGATGTGGCCAGGGACCCCTTCCTTTCCCAGGTCCCTTCCTGCACTTTGGGGGTGCACCCCATCTCCCAACCCCCATCTCATGGGGTCCAGAGGCGGGCACTGCGACGTCGGGCCCCGATTGGCCCGCTGCCCCGCCCATCAGGCTGAAGCACCCCCCTAATGCGCTTCAGGAGCACTCCCCGAGACACCGCGCGCCCATTAGCCCGCCGCGCCATCAGTCTCAGTCTCTGCGGCTTCCTCATTAGCGGAGAAGGCTGTCGCTCCCAGCTACCGCGCCCGCCCTCTTCCGCGCAGTTGGCACTGGTGCCTCGTGCTGCCAATCATGCTACATTAGCCCCGCTCCCGCCCCTCCATTGGCCAGCTAGCCTGTACATCAGGCGTCGCGGTCCCGCCCCCTAACCCCTTTCATTCCATACAATGAGCCCCTGTCCCCCCCCCGGGTCTCCCGGCCGAACAAACCGATGCCCTAACTCAGCAAGCCTCCCACCCACCGGGTACCTGGGTACGAAGCGGGTCCGGCACGGCACCGACTCCCCCTTCTCGCAGGCCGTCAGAGCCGAGGCTGCTTCTGCGCAACGCCCGCCAAAACAGCCCCCCCAGCGCGCAGGCGCCTGGTTCTCCACATTGCGCATGCGCAGCCAATGCGCTTCCCTCCCCCATTTGTACACATATGGGAGCGCCCTTGGGTTTCTCTCAGCGCATGCGCAGATGAGCACTTTCTGGCTGGTGCGTTTTTATTCCCTTTTCCGTGACGCTGCCAGGCAGAAGCCCTGGTCCGGTCTGTTTCACAGGGCTAATGCTCGCGGTGTAGTGCCAGTGACACAAAACAGGTCATTTAATTCTTCCCACCACAGTAATCGACACCCTCGCCTCATCGAATGATTGACAAGACAGCCCGCCAGTCAAACTCAACGTTTGGCAGCAACGGCCAAACATTGGGCAGTTTAGAGCGTGATTGCCCATCAGCAAACCAATCAGAGGTGAGATAGAAAAGGAGGACTTGTGGCACCTTAGAGACTAACCAATTTATTTGAGCATGAGCTTTCGTGAGCTACAGCTCACTTCATCGGATGCGTACCGTGGAAACTGCAGCAGACTTTATATACACACAGAGACTATGAAACAATACCCCCTCCCGCCCCACTGTCCTGCTGGTAATAGCTATCTCAAGTGATCAAAGAGGTGAGATACAGTCTCTCGCGAGTGGAGCGGGAAAGACAGATGGGGGGGAAGGCATGGACTCCCAATGAGATACGTTAATGGGCGGGGCTTAGGCTGCCTTAGCCAGTAGACTGCCGCAGTGGGGTAGGTCCAGGATTTCCACCACCAATGAGATGTGTCTGTCGTTCGTGACTATCCAATCGGATGTGAGGGGGTGTGACCCGACCCCCTTCATCCAATGGGAGCGCGCGGCGGGCGGAGCCCTAAGGGGGGCGGTGGAGTGAGGCGGCGACTCGCTCGTCATTCAGCCCTTTCTGTATCGGCGCCTGACGGAGGAAGCATCGCGCGCGCAGCAGTCTGAGACGGAGGCCTGCACCCCCCTCCACCCGCCGCCATGTCCAAGTCCGAGGTGAGCCCAGCCCCAGGACGCCGGCCGCCATCTTCTCCACGCGGCCTTCCCCTGGCCCTGCTGCTCCGGTGGCTCTTTTCTGATTTCGGGGCCTCTTAGGCTTCGGTCTAACTTGCGAGGCCCCTGCTTGCGCTTGCGGCGGTCCGTATGCTACGCGGGCGCTCTCGAGGGCGGGGAGGCCCCCCCAACTTTCGCGCGTGCGCGGCCCTCCTCTCGCCCCCTGTGGGCGGCCCTTTCGCGCATGCGTGGCGGAGACCAGTTTCTGGGTGTGGGCCCTCCCGCGCTCCGAGCCCTCGTGCCTGCGCCCGTCTTTGTGCAGAACCAGATCCGAGCTATGGCGGGCGGCCGAGCGGCGCGTGGCGGACATCGTGTGCGCGTGCGTGTCTGCTCGGCTCGCCCTTCTCCCGCGCTAGGCGCCTGGGCCGTGCAGGATACGAGGCCTCGTGGGGGGGTAGGCCCGGTGATCAGTGCACAGGGAGGCTGGCCCCCTCTTTCTCAGTGCTCAGCAGCTTGAGGGGCCGGAGCTGTGGCTAGCCTGGAAGCCACTGTGTAATGGGGGTGGCTTTTCCCCCGACTGCTAGGCTATTTTGATCCCCTTGTGGGGAAGGGAATTCCTGCTGCCCTAGTCTAGATCAGTGCTCCCTTGGGTGGGGGAGAACGGGTATTGTTAGCTCCAGGAGGCTGTTTATCTTGTTCCCATCTCATGGCTTGTTCTTCCTCTCTAGTCCCCTAAGGAACCCGAGCAGCTGCGCAAGCTCTTCATCGGTGGCCTGAGCTTCGAGACAACAGATGAGAGTCTCCGTGGCCACTTCGAGCAGTGGGGCACACTCACTGATTGCGTGGTGAGTGCCTTGGTCCCAGCGCCATAGCTGAAGCACTCTAGGGCTTTTGGGCAGGACAGCTGTGTTACAGTAACTTAGCAGCCTTCCAAAATACTTTTTGTCAAACGGAGTAAAAACATTTCCTTGAGGGGAGTAGGAAGGGAGCAAATAAACTTATATGTATTTGATATTAAAACTCAGAAATGGGTGAAGGAATCTCATTCTGTGGCATTACTGGTTTTTGATGAAATAGGGAGAAATGAAGAATTTTGTTTTTACTTACCAGTTAAGAGTCCTTAAATCACTATTCCTAGATAGTGGAATAGTACGGAATTGGTCTAGTTGCATACTTAGTGTTGCTCTGAAGGGTTCACTGTACATAAGGATGGCCATATTGTGTCAGAACAGTGGTCCATCTAGCCCAGTATCCTATCTTCCAACAGTGGCTGATGTCAAATGCTAGTTTAGAGGGAATTAACGGAAGTGGGCAATTGTTGAATAATCCATTTTGTCATCCAGTCCCAGCTTCTGGCAGTCAAAGGTTTTCAGTAACTTGTAGGACAAAACCAATGCTAGATAATAACCTTAGATGTTCCTTTGTTCTCATCTGTATGCCACTTTGCTTGTTTCACATTATCTACTTCGGTCACTAATGGAGATGTCATTTCTAGGTAATGAGAGATCCAAATACCAAGCGCTCCAGGGGCTTTGGGTTTGTTACATACTCTACAGTAGAAGAGGTTGATGCTGCCATGAATGCTAGACCACACAAAGTTGATGGCAGAGTTGTTGAACCAAAGAGGGCTGTATCCAGAGAGGTATGAATTAATGTTTAATCTAATCATGACGTTTCTGTAGCCTTAAATTGGCTGTTCACGCACTGGTGATAGTGTTAAATGGTCCTGTGTGGTTGTGTAGGGAGTGGGATGAGGTTATTGTGAGTATGGTGTGGCTATAATCAAGGGTTTAAACTGAGAAGAATAGCTCCTGTCCTCTTCATGGGTTGGGGAAGCAGCCACTCCCCACACACAGAACTCCCCCTACATTAATCACGCTGGCTGTAACTGCCAATGCACTGGTGACAGCAAGAACATGTGCCGCCCCTCCCGCCCCCCAAAAAAGGACATTAGTCAATGGCATAGATCGGGGTGGGCTGATTTAATCCGGCCCTCGAGCTCCAGCTGGGAAGCGGGGTCGAGGGCCTCTCCGTGTGCGAGTGCCGCAGCTCCTGGGCGCAGTGGCATGTCCCCCCTCCAGCTCGTTTGTGCAGAATCAGCCAGGGGGCTCTGCTCTGTCCCCGCAGCTCCCATTGACTGCAAACTGGCCAATGGGAGCTGCAGGGCAGGGCTGCTGTGCTCCACCGATAAGCGGGAGTGGAGACATGCCGCTGCTTCCAGGAGCTGGTTGAGATAAGGGCTGCCCAGAGCCTGCACCCCTGAGTCCTTCCCATGCCCCAGCCCTGATTCCCCTCAATCCCAGCCCGGAGCACCCTCCTGCATGCCCCACCCTGGAGCCCACACTTCCAGCTGGAGCCCACATACCCCCAGCCCAGGGCCCCCTCCCGCACCCTGAACTCCTCATTTCTGGCCCAACCCCAGAGCCCGCACCCCCTCCTGCACCCTAGCCCCAATTTCTTGAGCATTCGTGGCCCGCCAAACAATTTCCATACCCAGATGTGGCCCTCGGGCCAAAATGTTTGTCCAAGTTTGGCATAGATGGTACTGAAATTCTTAAAGCAGAACCATGCCATTAGTCACTACAATTGATTATGAAGGGGGACAAAATTTCAGCTGTGCACTAGCCTTTAACTTCTGTTCGCAGTCATAGTGTACAACTACCACAATTCTGAGTGTTGGCTTTCTTTGTTTGAGCTATCGGAGCCTTGCTGTTCAGACCAGTGTTTGTGGTGTCCTAAATTCATACATCTCAGATAATACTTCATATTGCTCTATTCTGTCCTGCATAGGACTCTCAGAGGCCTGGAGCTCACCTTACAGTGAAGAAAATCTTTGTTGGTGGGATTAAGGAAGACACAGAGGAGCACCACCTGAGAGACTACTTTGAACAGTATGGCAAAATCGAAGTGATTGAGATCATGACAGACCGTGGCAGTGGCAAGAAGAGAGGTTTTGCGTTTGTCACCTTTGATGACCACGACTCTGTGGACAAGATTGTTAGTAAGTATCCCAGCGAGTCTGTTACACAAAACTCTGCAAACCAGTGAAGAATTTATAGTATTTGAAGGGGAATTGTCCTTGGCTTAAAATCAGGACGCAATTGTGGATGTAACAGTTAATAACAACCTAGTAATGTCTGATTCTTCCCTTTCAGTTCAGAAGTATCACACTGTGAATGGCCACAACTGCGAAGTGAGGAAAGCACTTTCAAAGCAAGAAATGGCCAGCGCTTCATCCAGCCAGAGAGGTGAGTGCCAGTTTCTGTAAATCAGTTTGAAATTAATCCAAATGGCCCCTTGATAATTAGCTGTGCCATTCACAAACACTACTCTCTCTTCTAGGTCGCAGTGGCTCTGGGAACTTCAGTGGTGGCGGCCGTGGAGGTGGATTTGGTGGAAATGACAACTTTAACCGTGGCAGCAACTTCAGTGGTCGTGGTAAGTGACTTGAGGGGTAATTCTGACTAAAATTAAAAGGATACTGTCAGGCTAACAAAACTAAAGTTTTAGCCCATAGGTTAACACACCTGCTGCTGCAGTTCTGGCTATTGATTTTACTTGTTGATTTGGACGTTGGACTAAGTGCAATTCTCCTTTCTTCGCTCTTGGCGTTCTAACATAGTACAAGGGCTCATTCAGACAGACCTTGGAATCCCTGATTCCTTGCAACAGTCTCCATCAATTTATACAGCTGCTTCATTCTGTAAAACTGGCTTACAAAACCGTGTGCCCTGGGCGCCATCACCTGACAGTTTCCCTTCCTGGATAGACTGAACACAAAGGTTTGTTCTTTTCAGGTGGGTTTGGTGGCAGCCGCGGTGGTGGCTATGGAGGCAGTGGAGACGGCTATAATGGATTTAGCAATGAGGGTAAGGCCAAAGCATAACTTTACTGACATGTCAGCGGCCAGGTTGCCTTGTTTCCAGGCTCAAAGGTGCTACGCCCATGAAGAAGGACTGGTGACATGAGGAAAGTGACTGACTAAACTACAATCCCTTGGCCTGGTGGATGGCTGATACAAACTGACTACAGCATGGACCCAACTGGATCCATCCAGATAGAATAATTATTGTGTTAAGCATGTCAC